CCCCCCCCCTCTGCATCATATCAGGCCACATGGCCTCGGCATTGAGAGGGTGCTTTTCCATGGAGGGGGACCCACTGGAAAAGTACATTGTCCCAATGCCGATGGGGACAAGGGCCTCTTCCTCACAACCCTGACCTGGTGGTTGTGGTGGTCTGTGGGCAGGGGGGTTCATCTGCATCTGGGTACTGGAAAAACATGTCAAACGGCATAAAAAACACACATATCTGCATTTGCAGAAACACATCTAGATCTGGTCTGGAGGTGGTTTGAACATGAGCCCCTGACCTGTTGTTATAGATATTCAGACTACAATATTACAATACCTTACCTTACAATACCTACCTTACAATATTTTGCTGGTAAGCAGTCCTGAATTTCTTTGCATCTTTATGAGGATTAAAAACATGCAAAACCTGCACAAAGATATATATCACTTTTCAGTGCAATCCTATGGGGGATTGTTGATGCCCTTTAAGGATTTATCATACTCATTTTGGCATTGTGTTATGTAAATTAACGATGCCTGTTCTAAGGTGCTGAACAAAGGAAACTTTGCTTATCAAATTTAGTAAACATTCTCTTAACACTGCTGCTTATTGAATTACTGTGAATTAGAATTTCCTGTTACCCAATCTTACTGAAGGTGTAGGAACAGCATGCCACATACATACATGTATCAGATTAATAATTGCTGACATTTGGCATATAGTAAAATATATTCACAGTGTATAAGCATGCACCAATTTAAGAATGTGATCAGTCTATATGGTAAGTCCCCTAAAACCAGAAAATAATCACCACAGAAGTATATGTTTACACTTCCATTGTAGTCCTGTGCTGAAACAGCCTATTTATATTTTCCAAAATAAACTTTGTTTCTGTAGTTTGGTAATACAACATCCTGTCTCCTCATTATGCAGAATATGCCCAAAGACAGGAAAGCATACATTATTTATGAGAGAACTCAAAAACAATGGTCTGAATTAAAATGACTAAACTGTATTGTTGTAAGTATGATTTAGCATGATTATTGTATGCATAGAAATGTAAATGAGACATTCAAACCTTTTTTTAGTTAAGTATTATGTATACAGTCACTATTTACTTGTGGTTAGCATTTAATTACTTAGTTTGTAGGGACTAAAAGGCGGTGCCCTGTACCTGTGAACTAGGAGGGGGAGTGGGTAGTCTGTTGGAACTCTCCCATTAGGTGACATAAAAGCACATGCACAAGAAGCATGCCAGTGCTACCTGAAGCATCTCCGTACTTTTATTTATTTTTGTAGGTAACTGATCTCTAAACTAAAGAGTTACCTGAGAGTTACCTGAGAAGCAATATGCGAGAAAGCCAGAACTGATAACACTGGTTTGATTCCTTTGCATAGAACTAGCAATCGACAAGTGCAACAACTAACATTGATCTCTAGATGCAATTTAGCACTGTATTCTGTTAGAACTATGGAATAGTACATTTCTGCATGGTGTGAGGTCTTGGAATCGTGAAGATAAATATAACAATAACAGTTAGCACAGGAAGAGTGTTCTTAGGAATGAGGAGGATGGAGAACGTTTTTTGGAAAATTACAGTGCTGTACCTAGTTGTCACCCCTGTATTAGGAGCTAACAAAAGTAGATCCAGTGAGGGTGGAGGTGGTCATACTTCTGAAGCGCCTACCAGTCTACAGATAGTCACGTTTAAATGGCATCATGTGCAGGACCCATATACCATTGCAGTCTGGATTCTCGTGGCAAGTTTGGCTAAGATTGGTAAGTGACTTAACATATGAGTCTATTTATTTACCTTTAAATATCAGATTAAATATTAAAGCACGGTCATTGCCAATGTCTTGTGATTGGTGCATCATACTTGTATTAATACAAAGATATATATTTTCTGTATCCCTTACTTCTTGCGCTATTTGTATTCTGGCCACACACTAGGCAATTTTGTGACTTTCAATCATTTTAGTTTCTTGCAACCAAGTAATTTAAAATAGGGTGGAAACTGAAACCACTACAAAACCACTTAAAACAGCATTTTTAATACAATTTAAACCTAATTTTTAAAATGACATTGCTTGAAACCTAAAACATTTTAATATGATTATATTAATCCCTTTGCTACTCTGATACTGACCTTACACTTGGCAGCTTTGGCAGCTTTTTGTCAGCTTTTAACCACAAATGTTCCCTGGCTTTTAGCAAGCAAATTATAAAAACTGTGGTGCAAATCAATTAATGCCTTTTTAAGTGGGACTGAGGTAGTGAAAAACGTTTTACACCCCATTTGTGATCATTTGGTCACTGAAACTATGAAATAATTACTGGCCGCTTTAGATTTCGTAAAAGGATGAGCGCAACCTTTAACCAACAGTTTCTATAGAAACCATAAAAATATAAAAAATGTAGGTTGCTTTCATCCACTTTGTGGTTCTTGACTGAATGCTAGTTGAAGTTACAGAAATTGCTCTGTGTATGACCGGCATTAGCCCTTTTCCTAATTTGTATGTACTGTATAGCAATTTTTAAAGGAAATCAAAAAATGATCAGTGGGTATGCCATACATGCCAAACAAATTGTGCTTCATTCACTCCAGTTGAAGAAAAATGCAGGTTTAGAACTAGGATAGATAACTTATGGGTATTACTATACCCATACTTACTTATGGGTATGTTTTGCTCAAAGGTGATTCCACTTTCCCAGGTGAATTTGGGAAAATGGAATTACCTCCTCCAATATGATTCTCTCAACCTATATAATTCTCTCAAGTCTATACTCACCTTTCGATGAATGATCCTTCCCCTCTACTATCCATATCTTGTACATATGTGTAGCGCAGCCCTGTGCTCTGGATTTTGAATTCACTTGCAAATGGCGAGAACTTGGGGTGCACTGATACCGATATTGGTTCAGGTACTGGGATCCCGCAGAGCCTCCTAAGACCCTGCATTGCCCTCCTGAGACACCATACAGCCTCCTAAGACCATGCACAGCCCTCCTAAGACCCTGCACAGTCACATAGGACCCCACAGAGCCACCTGAGACCCACACAGCCAAACTGAGACCCCCACACAGCTCTCCTGAGATCCTGAAATCTTCCACTGGAGACATTAGGCCAGTACCCTGGAGCAGCACAGAGTATGTAGCTTCATGTTATTCTGCATTGATGTATAATGCATTGCTGGGATTTGTAGTCCTCTATAGCCGATTGCCATTCAGCATTGATGGGATTAGTAGTCCATGGTGGTATTCTGCATTGCTCTATAATGTATTGCTGGGACTTGTGGTCCCCTATAGCTGGTGGTATTCTGCATTGCTGTATAATGTATTGCTGAGATATGTAGTCCCTCTACAGCTTGGAGTTAGTCAGGTAACCGTGCTGACAAATGAGTGCTCGCCATTTGCAAGCAAAATTTTAAATACAGGGCTAGTGCAGGGCTACACGGCAGTATGATGTATGGATAATACACTCATACCGACAGAGGGGAAGGTGCATTCACCAAAAGATAAGTATAGAGGGGGGCTGGGAGAGGGGGTAATTCCATTTCCCCAAATTCACCTGGGTAACTGCAATTACCTTTTAACTTTATTTTTCATTGTTTTAGATTATTGCATTTAACCCATTATCTAATCCGTCATACATATTTAAAGTATAAATTGACTTGTTTGAATTATGAGAGTTTTTATATACATCCAGGTAAATCGGTATATGGGAGAGCAGAGGCGTCCCGAGCGCGGGTTTACCCGGTGCCACTGGGACATCATCACGGACATGCATGACATCACACATCATCACAAATGCGCATAATGATGTCATGAGCATTTAACTGCCAGCAGCCTTCTTGGTGATGGATGCCGGCACAGAGGAGGGGATGTTCATCCAGCGGTGTCACCCCCTCTGATGGTGTCACCCGGTGCGGGCCGCAACCCCTGCCCCCCCTTGTGATGCCAGTGTGGGATAGCCTAAAATAATTTAGTTCTCCTCTGAAAGCTTTTAAACACTACTTCTCTTTAACAGTTACTTTTTGTTAAGATTATGTATGTATTTAAAGTGACACTAAACTGAGAAGTTAAACCTTAAAAATGCATTCGATTAACTTAACAAAAATGTATCTTATTTGTGTATCACTCAGCTGTAGATCCTCAAATCTTCTCTGAATTGGTGCTGACACTGTCCTTCCTTCTGGAGGGTGGCTACTTTTGTTCCCCATGGTTTTTGTGTATGTTGTAAAGTAGTCCTGTGATGGACTACAATCTCAATGTGATACGTTTAGTAATTGCAGTGTTTAAAAACTAGGTATATTCCACCTATTAAATAAGAAACACAAGTACAGTGAACCAATGCATGTAACTGAAGGACACTTATTAGACCCTAATGATAAACCCTTCAATTAGTGTTTCTAGCAAACAAGCAACCCAGCATCTATGCGTGTCTAGACGGGGTTAATCTCTCTCTCCTCCTTGCACTGCACTACTAGCTGGAGAGATGACCAAATGTACTTAAGAACTGTAAATTCATAATCACAGTTCTCAGATTACTTGTGATAAGCAGTGGAGGAGAAAAATGAAACTTCTAATAGTGTAGCAGGTTTTATTGAAACAATTTGTAATACTCTTTTGGTGTTCGAAATAAGTACAACTGCAAGCCACTTCAACAACACTGCTGAATGTATTTCAGCTTCTCTTTTTTCTCTTACAGCTTCTCATTTTTTCTGAACATATATTTAAAATTCTCTACTCACATTTCTATTACTTAAATTAAATTGTAGCGATATAGAAAGCACAACCGTAACCAAATTCATAACACAAAAATAAAATTACAGGTCCCACCCAGAGGGTTTATGATGGCACCCCAAATGTTCAAAAAGTTCACACATTTTAAACAATAAAAAAAATAAAGATTCTCTTGCAATGGGAAGGAAACTATGAATATTATTAGACAGAGCGATGTTACTTCATGTTTAAAATAAAACTATTATTGACAAACACAGTAAAATAATCTCAATTAAATTATCACCATGCACACATACATACTGTAACAAGCTAAATTATATGTTATTTAAAAAATACTAATAACAACCATTGCACTTAATTCTCAACTGCTATTTGAAATTAACTCACAATTCCTACATTGCTGTGCAGTTTTATATGGCTGTTCAACCATTAAAACCACTAGAATCTATAGTTGTGTAAAAATAGGTGATGGACCCTTTAAATTACCTGTTTGTTGACCCACATATTTTTCCGATTGCCTGTTTCTTGCCTGTGTATTGTAATGACTGCCTATTTGGTCCCCGCATATTGTGAATTTTATTGGTTTTTTTTGCTTGCATACTGTTGTAATTGCTTGTTTTATTTTTCAATTGCTAATTGTTGCCTGTATATTGTAAGGATTACTCATTTAATGCCCCTATATTGTCAGGATTGCCATTTTTGTCAGCGCTGTTTTTTTAGGACCATATTACTGTAACTTAATCCATAGTTACATAGTATTAGACACGTCTAATAATATATATATAAAGACATATAGTATAAAGTATAGTATAATAATATAATATAAAGACACATGTCCATAATATAATATAATATAAAGACACATGTCCACCAAGTCCAACCTATTGTGTGCATGTGTATGATCCTACTGATGTGTGCGTATGTATATATAGATTTCTGTGTGATCCCATTCTTAAGAGTACTTGTACCCCTGTATATTAAGACCCCTCAGGAAATCGTCCAATTGCCTCTTGAATTGCCTCTCAGCTGAAATCACAGCATGTGGCAGCGAGTTCCAGACCCTGACTGCTGACATTTTTTCTCCACCAATTTTAGGTGGTGGCCCCTCGTTCTTGTCATGGAGTTATAGTAAAAAGTTTGCTGCTTATGTTGCTATCCCCGGTAAACATTTTGTACATGAAAATCATGTCCCCCCTTACTTCCAATGAGAACATGTTTCAATTTAGTAGCCTGTTCTCATAGCTCAGGTCCTCCATCCCCTTTATGAGTTTGGTTACCCTCCTCTGGACTCTTTTCAGTTCAAGGACATCCCTTCTGTTCACTGGTGCCCAAAACTGGACCGCATACTCCAGATGAGGCCGAACCAGTGATCTATAAAGTGGCACAATTATAGACTTGTCCCTGCAAAACATTCCCCTCTTAAGGACAGGACCCTACTTGCTTTGTTTACAGCAGCCTGGCACTGCAAGCTATTATTCAGACTGTAGTCTACAATAACCCCCAAATCTTTTTCCCTTTTTGACTTCCCTAGTGGAGTTCCCATTAGTGTGTAATCCGCGTGCTTATTTTTAACACCAAAGTGCATAACTTTACATTTATCAACATTAAACCTCATCTGCCATGTAGTTGCCCACTCCCATATTTTATCCAGGTCCCGCCGTAATGTTATGGTGTCTACATCCGTGTCTATTACCCTCCCGATTTTGGTATCATCAGCAAACACTGAAACATGTCTGTTTACCTGGGCATGGGGCCCAGCACAAAACCCTATGGCACGCTGTTCATAAACCCTAGCCCAATCCTATACACATTCTTGTAACCAGTTTTCTATCCATGTACACACTATTTCGTCTATGCCCATGGATCTCCGCTTGTGTAGTAAACTTTTGTGTGGTACCGTGTCAAATGCTTTTGAAAAGTCCAAATATACCACATCTACCAGCCTACCTCCATCCAGATCTCTACTTACCCCTTCGTAAAAAGTTAGCAGGTTAGTGTGACAGGAACGGTCTTTGCTAAATCCATGCTGGTTG